CTCCTCTGAGTAAAGACTGAGAGAATTGGTGTTGTTCAACCTGTAGGAGAGAAAGGTCCAAGGAGACCTTAATGTGGCCTTAATGTGTACTTAAGAGGTTTTATGAGAAAGATGGGGATGAACTTTTAAGTAGAGTGAGGACAAAGGGTAATGGTTTTAATCTGAAAGAGGGTAAATTTAGACTAGATATTAGGAAGAAATTCTTTACTATAAGGGTGATGAACCACTGGCACAGGTTGCCCAGAGAGTCTGCGGATGCCCCATCCCTGGTAACATTCAAGGCCAGAATGGATGGTGATCTGATTTTCAATGTCTCTGCTCATTGCAGGGGGTTGGACTAAATGGTCTTTAAAGGTCCCTTCCAACCTAAACCATTCTATGATTCTGTGATCCTGTTTTCAGTTTTCACCTTTATGAAAGGAATAATGTCAAGAGCAAAATCAGACGTTTTTAGGCACTCTGCACGAGCTAATTGACATTACAGGACAGGGCAACAAGAAAAGGCAACAGTGAATTATGTCTTTTCAGGTTTTTTTTAAAACTACAGGGAGACTTTGAACATAGTACTCAGATAATACAAACTAGCATCCACTGAGTTTTAATGCAGCTAGATTTAGGGTCCCTATTGCCATTTTCAACTTTCATCTCATTTCCTTCTCTATGTTCTCAGTTAAGTTCAGACCTTTTCCATTGACAAGTCTGTAATTCACTCTACTTGACATAGTGCCAATATATGATAACAAAATATTAGATACTGGCTGTGAGAAAAGCAAGCAATTTGTGGCTTAGCCTCTTGACATTCCCAACTCTCTCCTCCTGCTCAAATACACCCACACAGAGTAATTTTTCAGCCTCAGGCGGCACAGCAATACAGCCACAAGTTACCCGTTCCATGAGTTTCTAAGATCAGTTAACTGATAAAGCCTCCCCACCTTAGATCATGTTTGATGACAAAGACCATAACTCGAATCTGATAAGGGAAAAGTTCTGGATAATCCTGCATCCTTGCTGCTAATGGCTTGCCATAAAGACACTAAAAAAGGAGAAAAAAAAAATCTAATTTAGTCGGCAAGGCTAAAAATGCACTCTTAGAAAATGTAAGAAGCAAATTCCCAAATTGTTACGTGTTCTGATAAGAAGCAGTCTGAACACAACACGTTTTCCCTTGTCAAAAGCAGTTTGCTTCTTGCCTTTGCTGAGTAGCCTTTGGCTTTTGCTTTTGCACTGGGCAAAATGCAACCTGCATTACCTTTCTATTGAAGAATAAAACAGCCTGCTACTAAATGAAAAGCACAGCAGCTTCAGGTTTACTAGCTTTATCAGTTGTAAAATCTGCAGCTCTGAGGAAGAAACTATATAGCTTATTTTAAAACTGGAAGAATGTTGTGATCTTCTCCAAGCCCTTGACACTAAAACTCAAATGTTGCCTATGCTGGGTACAAGATTCGTCATTTTAATTGACTCCACTCTTCTCTGTAGTAACAACTGTTACTTGATCAAAGTAACTCGGGCTCGTTCAAAGACTGATTTGATATTCATAACCCTCTGCATATGAATTCCCCTAAAAACAACTGTTTGAGTGGCAGCTCATGATGATAATCAGTCCTGATTCCTTTGTTCAAGCCTTTAACCTCCAGCCTGTTAGACTTTCCCACACAGCTCTTTGTGTCCCTTCTTTTGAGGGATGCATCCAAAGAGTCTTCAGAGACCACCAGTACCACCTGTATGTTTTACATATAGATACTTACTCATAAACACAGTTCTTTTGCACACTTTGATCTTAATTAATAGGCTGTCACTGGAAGAATCAGTCACATATGATAAAGGTCTTGGGAGCCAGATTAGTAGGGCACTATGTTAAAATGCTCAGATCATTAGGAGCAGAGCTTGTCAGCCTGGGCCCATTGTTTCAATTTTTGGAGTTACTGAGAGCTCTGCCAATTCAGACACCAGCAGGAGACACCACAGAATTCAGGCAAAAATCTACTGCTGTGGGTACCATAGGAGGTTGTTTCCCAGCCAAAACTATTGGTGTTGGCACACGAACTGGGGAAAAAGAGAGGTGAGGATAGTAATTTTTTTGCTTTGCCAGTGTGTTTCTTCCTCTATCTTGGAGGATGTTGATGCCTTCCTCTGCAAGGCATGGATGGCTTGGCTGCTTCATATTGAGGGTTTCTCTTGTTATGGGTAAACTACTCCTGGGAGGTGTGTCATGGGGCAAACTTGTGGGGATACAAAAAAGGTAATGACTTCTGATGATGTTTTTTTGGTAAGCTTTTTGAAAGCTGTGTGTTGCATTGTTGTGTGGACATAGTGATTTGATGTTCTTAGCACGGGGAGGCTGTGTTGGCTTAGCCTCCTCAGGGATCCAATAACTTTGATCCACTCAGGGTCTTGTTTTTCATTGTATTTTCCAAATCTGTCAGTGGTGAGGGGTGAAGGGGAGGGAGATGAGGGAGAACCTGAGAGAGCTAGCAGTAACAACATATCCAAGCTTTGACAGAGTCTGGCAGAATAACTTAATTAACTAATGGCGTGTACAGAGCTGTAATGGGATCCAAAAACAGAAAGCTTTTAAGCAAAACTTAAAGCCAACAGCATCAATAATGGTGAGCTGAGGACGCTTACTCCCTTTGTTTTTTTTTCTGTAAGACTGGTGACACAGCCCCTCACCTATTCTCTATCCCTAAAGGCGTTTCTCCATCTAGTGTCCCTGGGCAAAAATTACAGCCAGTTTGATCCCAGTGTCCCCTTTCTGCTCCCAGAAGGCTCAGAGGTTTCCTCATAAACACACAGAAACATTAAGCAGAGAGGAAGAAGATGGATTTTGGAAGGATGTTCCTTGGAGCTGGTCTGGGCTGCAGCCACCTCTGGGAGTGGTTCCAGTCACTGGCTACTTCTCTGATATTTGGGGGAGATTTGCTTTTTCTTGCCATCATGGAGCACATGTAAGTTTCGATCTTTCACTTTTGTCACTCCTGCTCTCTCAAGGCTGACTATTTGGAGTTGCTTTGCCAAGCTGATGTGAAAGTCAGGGTTTCAGGCTGCTGGGACACCCCCTTGCCTCCACGCATTTATTTTCAAGGAGGATTTAGTGTATGGGAACTGCCTGCTGCTCCCCAGCATGACCTGCAAACTTCCCACAGCATTATCCAGGCTGTGATAGGCACATGTGTTTGTGCACAGAGCTGTGGAGTCTAATGATGTGTTTTAGGCAATATCATGTCTAAACTAGGTAGGCTAGCAGAACCTGTCATGTCACCTTCAGTATTTGCCCTCTCTGCTGAGCTGTTTAATGTGAGTAATTAAACCACAGTCTTTATATGCACTGCTATTATTAATTTTTTGGATGAAGACGTTGCCTCTCTTCCAGGAACAGTATCCCTGAGGCCCTGGAGCATGCACATATGGTGACACATCTCTCTGTTCCAGCAAGGTAGGTAGTCATGCTGTTCTTCCTCTTCTCCCTAATTTCATCTCACATCCATACATCTTTTTGAAAGCTGAAAGTTTCAGCCTTCTTTTCACATTTCCCTCTCAGCACCAGCTTTTTTTTATGTGAGGTCAAATGCAGTTCATTCTGCAGGCTTGTGGGAACTTGCTGGGCATCAGCAACAGCAGTGGCAGAAACTAAGCTTGGACAGATGGCTCTTGGCCGAATGTCCTGCCTGTCAATGGCTGGCAACTCCTCCAAAATCTGTGGTGCTTCAGGGAGAGCGGGCAGGGCACTGCCAGCTTCTACTCTCAGTCTTGCTGGTTGCACCTGCCAGGGACAGCATATGGTCCACAGAACTTCCAGGGAGAGTTGGACAGGAGATTGCTGCAGGTCCCCCACTGAGACCCAAGGCATGTCTGGTTCTGCTGGCTGGCACCAGCTGAAATGCCACACAGCAAAGTGTCTTGGAGTGCTCCTATGAGGCCATCCCACAGTCAGCCAGGAAAGCAGTGAAGACATCAGGGAATCAAAAATACTGAGCCTTTGCTCTGTCCTACTTAACACCACTTCATCAAAGGCTTTTGGGAACCAGTCTGCACATGTCTCTAATGGAAATGTGACATCTGAAGATTATGTATTTGCTCAGCCTGTAGCTGGGAAGAGGAAAGCCGTGGTACAGAATGGTCAGGGCAGTATAATTTTTTTGCAGAATAACAGATCACATCCTACTTTGGCATAAGTATTCCTTTTGGGGGTCTGTCAGCTTTACACATCAAATCAGGGGACCAAACTCTCTGTCCCCTCAGAGAACTGCCAGATTGGTCCACAATGCATGTGCCCCAGCAACACAGACATGATTTGGAGCTCCCAGAGGAGATCCTTACCCTGAGATATCTTAAGATACTCCCAGTTGTGGCATAGAAACCCAATTTTATATGTGGGGAGGTTTAGCCCTGTGATTCTAATGGAATTGATATTCAAGGGTCTGTCAGAGAGAGCGTTGAGCTCTGGCCTCTTGTCTGGACCATGGATGGACCCCCGTGAATGGCTTGGCAGGCATTCTGGGAGTCTAAACTTTTGTCCATTTTAGTGCAGGGCAAGAAAGTATTTTGTTATTTTGTGAAAATGATCTGATTATGTACTCCTCCCACAGGAAGTGGAAACCTGCCAAATTTAGGGAATTTTGATCCCAGGGATGCATTCCACAGCTGATCACAAGACAGCAGTGTCCATAACACAAGCACAGGGACAGATACTCCGCAAGGGAGCAAGAGATTCAGAGAAGAGCTCTGCTGGGGCTTGTTCATATTGCACACAACCAATCAATAGCAAGGGCAGAAAGGCTTTATAACATGGAGAAGACTTCATGTCAATCAAAAATGTGTCTGTGGCTCTTGGGCACACACCTGAAACAGCATTTAACTGAATAGCATCAAGGAGCTTAGCACAAGATGATTCCAGAGTGCCAGGGGGTTCAGTTATGACTAAGCTGCAGTTAATACTTAAGTTATCTGGTTTAGAGTTTGCTCACATTCCTGTCTCCTGTTGCACTCACCACCTCTGTGTGGACTGGTTATCTCCACCAGAAAGAAGTGGTGTAGCATCCTTGGATTCATCTCTCTAAAACCCACTGGGAAAAGAGTAAGACACTCTGTACATTTCTGTCTAGGAGAAACAGTGTTGTCAGCCTCACAGCTTCAGTCCTGTAGTCCTGAATCTGCTTTATCGTGTGAAGTGACTCTGCAAAATGGTCGACACTTCTGATTTCCTTCCCAATTTCTGCTCAGATTTGACAGGGCACCTGTCTTTCTGTACTGACATGCAGAACTTAGCACAGTGTGGTTCATATCTCATGTGGATAAAGACAATACTTCAGCATAAAGAGGTGATGACAGCAATTGTCTGGATCAGAGTAATGTGGACCCTTTGTGATAGTCAATAAGACTTCCACATGCCCTCTGGTTGTCATTAGGCACACAGCTTTGAAAGCAGCAAGGAACTTAGCAATTCTAGAAAACCTGAAAATCATTAAAAAGGTTAGCACACAGTTAATCACAATTTCCCAATGAAAGGTGAAATGCTAATTATTTCCCCCTAATTACACTAAAATCTTCAGAGGATTCAAATATTGGCATGACCTATGGTTTACTGAGACCCAGATGACACCCACGTACCACCTAATTAGCAATGACTTCCCACAGAAGGCTCCTCTTTGAAGCATTACATTTTCCACATGTTTTCTTTTCATATTAACACCGCAAAAATAACCTTCCCTACTTGCTACAATAGGGGATGAGTCAGACACATCATTGCAGAGCACCCAAAACCTTCCCCGACCAGAAAAATCCTTGTAACACTTGCTAATAAGTGGAAGCGGAGGGAGTGTGTTCTCACCTCCCTGTCAATGGGAGTTAAGTGTGCGTAGGGAGGAGAGAACACAATTAAAATGAATCATTTGCATTAGATGCACATAATAATGAATACACACTAACCATCATGGAATAATTACCTGGTTTTATTATTATCCAGGTCATGTTTTGGTCCGCGGCCCTGCAGCCATAAGCTATGACTTGCCTCGGTTTCCAAAAGGCAGCAATACTTCAGAGATATCCAAGTCAAGCCCACAGCTACTGGGGAGAGCAGGGCAGGCAATTAACCACCAGTGTCAGACCTTTTTGTGTCCCTCAGCTCTACTGTTATTTTTTTCTACCCTAGTAGAAGACAAGAAAAGTGGAACTTCACAGACACAGAGGCCATGCTTCGGATTCATTACCTTACGGAGCAGCAGCCTCTTCTTTTCCCATGTGAAGCCTACAGAAAGGAAGCAGGAGTTTCACTTAGAGTTCTTGCTGGATCTGTCAGCTCTGCAAGTTGTTCTGTTTTGCCTAGGATTTAGTCACCAGTGAGCAATGTGAATAAATCATTCTCATGACAGCACTGAAACATAGACACTCTTAGGGATGCTTTGGAAGTGAGGAGAAGAGGTGAAGCTGGAAGTCACTCCATATGGAGGCATGTGTGTATTTGCTGCGGGCATTTTCTTATGCAAGGAAGATTGGCATTTCTTGCAGGTTGATGCTCCTAGTCGCAGTTACCAGTAAAGAAAAATCTCTAGGTGTATCAGACACTGCCTAGGGAGCCCAGTAGGAGAGAGGAAAACTACAAGTGAATAGGCTAATACAGAGTTTGTCCTTATCTGCCTGAGCTGTCTCCCCAAATCTAGTTAACACAGGTAATAAATGAAGCCACGAGGAGAAGGCACTTCACTTACACAGTTTTTGGCTTTCTAAAGCTGCAGTCTGACAGAGAAACTGCTCCATGTTTTCTCCACTTGATAATCCTAGTGGCAGTATGGGACATAATGCAGCAGTCAGTGCAACTGGGATACTCTGTGCAAACATTTCCCTGCTGCAGAGGACCTTGGTGGGGTGAGGTAACACGCTAGCAGTAATGGGGACTCTCTCTTCGTTCTGAAAGATTGCTTTCCTGTAGCCTGATACAGAGTGAATTCATCTGCCTTAAGTAAGATTATCACAGGTAAAACCCCACCTCAGGGGAATGGGAAGGTTGAACAACAGAGTAGGTTATAGTTCAGTGTGATAGTTATGCTTACTTTCTCATGTAAAGAAATAATGTCTTTGGAACTCATTCCAGGATAAGAAGAAAAAAATAAAAAAAGGTAATTCTCCTAGTGAGTAGTTTTAAAGCGCCCTAAATACACATTATCTAAATGTTAAAAAAAAATGTGCATTATTCTTCTGGTTTTGGCTGTATTTGCTTGAATATATCTCAACCCACTAGTCCTTGCAATTTTACCCTTCCAATTCTCTTCCCCACTGCACTGGGCAAAGCACTGAACGAGTGTCTGGGTGGTGCTTAGCTGCCCACTGAGGTTAAATCACATCAGTCAACAACGTGAATGTCTGAGCTGTGGGAATCCTGGGCACCCCACAGCCCATCTCTCAATTCAGATCACTGAGCTCTGTGATCCTTCAAGTGGTGTTTCATAGAATCAGAAGATGCCTGTAACTGGGAAGGACCTCTTAAGATCACCTCCTCCATTTCCTCTGCTGAAGCAGGGTCAGGTACAGCAAGGTGCCCAGGACTGTGTCTGATTTGGTTTTGAGTGTATCTAGGGATGAGGGCTCCCCAGCATCTTCAGTAACCTGTTCCTGTGGCTGTCCAGGCTGCCTTCAGAGTGAAAAAGTTTTCCCCCATGTACTTTCCTTCTGTACTGAAATGTTCATGAGTCCCTCTAACATAAAATTGGTGAGTACCTGGATTCTTAGGAGTAATTACAGGGAAAAAAGCATGTGTATCAGTAAAAAGATCTAGTGCTGCTGGATGGCTAATTATTTTACTCCTAACCTTGTAAATTGTTTCTTATGTGGTAGGTGGAGTTCATTTGCTCTGTTAGGTTGCTGCAGCTAGATGTGCACTCTTGCATGAAATAAAAGAGCCTGCGCTTATATATAACAATCTATTTATTAGATAACAATCTAATAAATCCATTATTAATAAATATTTTAAAATCACATTTTCTAGAAAGAGGTGGTTTGATAAAAATTGAATCCTACCATCAAGGATAAACAACAGCACAATGGGGTTGGAGCATCCTTTACCCGAAAGTAGTGCAGAAGTAGAAAAAAAACTCCACCATTTTTCACCTTATATTCAAGTAGCACTTGATACTTGCAGTTATTATAGATTTTACTTGACATGGAGCTACCATGCTGGTACCAGGGCAGTAATTGATCACTTGCTCAGGATTGACAGAAGCTCTGAGAAACAGGCCTAAAATCTGGAGTAACCAGCAGATGTTACAGGAGCTAAGCCAAAAGGGGTGTGGGAGGTGTCCCTGCCTGCAGCACAGGGTTTGAAACTAGGTGATCTATAAGGTCCCTTCCAACCCAAACCCTTCTATGATTCTATGACCAAGCCCATGAAACATAAAATACAATGTCTGGGATTATGGGTTAAAAAGTACTATTGGTCCTGGAGAGACTGTCCCTGTCCCAGAGACAGGAAACCAGTAACTATGTTTTCTTCACTGGGTAATACTTCTTCCAGCAGATTGCTCTGAAAAGAGCTGGATTCAGTAAAAGTGTGCCTCCACCTGAAGATTTTGGGGTAGTACAGTCCACTTCAGCGAACCTGCTGTAGCTCAGAGTCAGTGGTGAAGGAGATAAAGAATGTATTTTTTACCTTTTTTTACGTACTTGACAAATGGATTATTTGATGTGTTATTACTTTTGCTGTAGCTTGCACAGCCCTATTTTATTGAGTAATTTACATGACATATAGGAGTCGTATTCCAATAGATAATATTTGTAGCTATTTTTCATGTGCTTCGATCTCCTTTTACCTTCCATCAGCAGAAATGCTTACACCTCTTATACCCAACATCCACTCCCTCATTTTAATTCACCCCCTCCCTCTAAACAAAGTCCTTAAAGAAAGGAACAATTGTTTTGAATAATTAGCATCATTAATCCTTGCCTGTTGATACCTGAATTGTCACTCCAGCCCATAAAATTGCTTATGTCGCAGCTTTCACGCAATGCATCACAAAACACTTTACAAATAATAGCCTAATGAAACACAAGAGAACAACAAATCATCGCCAGAGCAAAAGGACGTCATAAAATCATTTTTGAGCAACGCAAGTGATATCAAACGATTTAAAACCAGATTCAGTCTGTGCTCCTTGTACTTCTCAGCAGAAGGCAATTCTGTGCATGAGGTGCATAGCAAGTAAGAGCTTTTGAGCCATGCAGATTTTGGGAAAACTTTTCGATAGGCAGATTTTCTTCTGATTTGAAAGCATACCTATAGATTTAAAGAGGAAGATTGTGCTCCCATGTAGGATTTATTTTCCTAAGAAATTTAAGATTTATTCATATCTGAATATAAACTGGATAGAAATTTAAGTCATATGAGCACAGCTAGCTAAAATCCTTATATCTGGCCTTTAGTTAATTCTGAGCACTCCATTTCCAAAGTGGAGGAAGCAATATGGGTATCCTGGTGGGGCCTTAATGCAAAATAATCTGGGAACTGTATATTCAAGGTCATCCTACCTGAATGTGTAGTGACTTTAACCTTCAAATATATTTCTGATCTTCTAAATTTCAGGGAGTTATTTGTAAGTAGTGCCAGTGGGGGAAAACATAAACCCCTTGTTCTTCTGAACTTTAAGAAGAAAGAGAGAATGTTGAATGTGATATCAGCTTACCCTTTCTATCTGTTACCTTGTGAGATGGTAGATCTGAGTCACAAACATACATGAGTTGTCTCCTGTTTTGCGTGGTCTGTTCAAAGGGATGGAAGTAGCCAAGGTACAGTGACAACTGCACCCTGACAAAGTCGAAATTTCACCAGGATCCATTCTATTGCATAAAACAACAATATTGTGTGTCTTTCTATGAGGAGAAACTTAGGAAAGATTTTCAAATCTAAAGATTTCTCTGCAGAAAAAACTGGGAAATGCTTATGATTTAGAAGGCATGCTAAAAATTCTTCCCAGAGACTGCAAACTGGTACAACTGTGAAAAATCTTGAAAAATAGTACCATAAAGAATTGCAGTAATATCTGTGAAAAATACGTGGATAATGTTTCCAAGTCCCAAGTTAGATATCAGCAGCCACTGCCCAGCAGTATGCTTTCAATAAGATAAAGATAAGGTATAGCAACACTCATTGCACAGTCAGTTATGCTGCGACAACCCCACTGTGGACAAACAACCTCTGACAGACACTGAATCAACTCTTTACTGCATAAGGGAAAAAAACGCAGAGTTTTTCAGAATATTACACAGGTGATCAAGTTATATTTTGATACAAAAGACTGTACTGCAAAAGCATCTAGGAAATTTAGCTGAAGGCAGAACTGTAGCTACAGCAACATGGAGTGTACAGCCAGGGTCTGCTAGTCTTAGTGGAGAAAAAGGAGAGAAGGGATTTTCTGAAACTCCCACAAGAGGTTTGTGTTTATTTTGAATCCAGTGCCAACAGCCTGGTTTCTTAGCTTTTGTATGTATTTGTGCTGGTTTGGGCTGGGGTACAGTTAATTTTCTTCACAGTTCCTACTAGGGGCTATGCTTTAGATTTGTGCTGAAAACAGTGATAAGGATGATTTAGTTACTGCTGGCCAGGGCTTACACAGAGTCGAGGCCTTTTCTGCTCCTCACCATCCCCCAACAAGGAGGCTGAGGGTGCACGAGGTTGGAAGGGGACACAGGTGGGACAGCTGACTCCAGCTAACCACAGGGATATTCCATACTGCATGGTATCCTATAAAGCTGGGAGGAAGAAGAAGGAAGGGAGGGATGTTCAGAGTGATGGCGTTTGTCTTCCCAAGTCACTGTTAGGCCTGGTGGAACCCGGCTTCCCTGGGCATGGCTGAACACCTGTCTGCCCATGGGAAGTGGTGAATTAATTCCTTATTTTGCTTTGCTTATACACGACTCTTTGACTTTACCTACTAAACTGTCTTTATCTCAACCCACGAGTTTTCTCACTTCTACCCTTCCGACTCTTTCCTCCATCCCACTGTGGGGGAGTGAGCGAGCAGCTGTGAGGGGCTGAGTTGCCAGCTGGGGTTAAACCACAACAGTGTTATATGTAACTGGTTCTTCATCAAAATTATGTAACTTAAATGGGAAAAGTGGTGAGAGGACATGGGATAAAAGTCAAGAACATGTAGTAGTTCTGCTGCAACAGGATTTCTTTGGTGTTCTAAAGCAATTTCTAACTGCACTTATCACCTGGAAATGAAAACTCCTGTAAAAGAGCTGGAGCTATTTATGAAACTTGATGCAACAGGTGTCATAGAACCACAGAATCAGCCAGGTTGGAAAAGACCTCCGAGATCATCAAGTCCAACCCTTGATCCAATCCCACTGTGATTACTAGATCATGGCACTCAGTGCCACATCCAGCCTCATCTTAGAAACCTCCAGTTTAGCTGAATTTGACAGTTTAGTTGAATTTTCTGTGAAATGGATGTTTTTATCGACACACCAGGACTCAACCCTCCTCTTAAATTCCAAGGAATCCTAGAACATAGAATATGCCAGGAATATGCCAGCTCAAGAGAGCAGTAACACAAGATGGAGGAGAACAAACACTCTATAAGCTTGAGTGGGCCCAAATATGTTCAGCAGTGTAATATAATCTAGAGCTGGTACTATCCTGCAGAATGGGTTGAGGATGGGGGAGAACAGTGACATAACTTATATAAACAGACCTTCTTTTGTAGTTTGCTATTCCGCTCCCCACTCACACTGCATATAGTCAATAATTTTATCTACATGAATTTCAGAAATATGGCCTCATTCCAAGCATAAAAGTAAGGTAACAGGAGATAAAAAGTGTTTTAACAAAGTCAAGGACAGTGAACTCAAAATGTTGATATATGATGGGGAGAAAATTCTCCCAGTTTTTCCCTCACTTGTTATGAATTTGAAGAACTGTATATGTGTGTGATTCCATTTAGTACCAAATCAACTAAAATACTTTAAATTCTTGTCAAGTTGCTTTTTAAAAACATATGTGATTCAGCATCCAAAACAAAACAGGTCTTGAAATAAAGAAAAACAAAGCCCTCCTTATAACTGAAGGGTATATGGAATGATGTGATGTTGGAATCACAAAGGTGTGTAGGCTCCTAAATATTATCCAGCTCCTAGTTTATCTTATAACCAAGAATTGTAGGTGTTGATTCTTGTCTTTTACATGCCATGGAAAAAGGAATTAATATTGAAGAAACAGTCCTTGTTTTCCTCTGTGTAGTGAAAAGGCCATTGAATCTTCTGGCTGACAGTCAGACAGCAACAGTCTTTCCTTTTACTTGCAGCAGCAGGCATTGGAGTCATTATGAAGTCATACAGAGAACTGAGAAAATAACCTCATCTATCATGTAACAATCCCAATAATTATCTGTGCACTCAAAGGACTTCCCTTCCACCCACTTCTGCAGATGTTTCTGCACTTGAAAGCACTAGCAAATTCCTATCTTTGCACAACAAGATGTCAGCTTAGAGCATTGGCTCATCAAGCTTAATATTCTCTTTGTTTTACGGGTCAAGTGTAGGTTTTAAGATGAAAAAGCCACAAGTCATCCGTATGACAACACAGACAGTCCTTCCTGCCTTCTCTACCCACTGGCTGACATCTCAAAATGGGATGGAAAAATCAAAAACACCTGGGCACTAACAGAACTTCTTTAAAGCAAGTACCATGCAACTTACTCAGCTGGTGTGCCACCCTTCTCCATTGTCACAGGAATAATCCATCACCTGTGACAAGCAACCAGAAATGGGCTTGGATATTGGCATGTCTGGGCTAGTTTGCTGATATATGACCCCCGAGGATCATCAGAGGTAAGTTCCTCACCTTAAGTATGGCAAAAGCTAAAAATGAGTTGGAAAATCCCAAAGTCTCCCCAAAGCTCTTGCATCCAGGGAAACACTCCTTTCCTTTAGAAAGGGGTGTTTGAGCCAATAGCCCCTGGCTTCATAGTTTCAGTGCTACTTCCCTGCAAAGCCCCTGCAGTGCCTTGACAGCTGTGAACCCAATCCTGGGATGCCACTGAAATCCTTACCCAGGCAGAGCTCCCATTGACATCAATGGCCACTTAATAAAAGATGATGTTTCACTGGGATATGAGAGATGTACAGATATCTCAGATCCAGCCACATTTGGTGCGACAAGTGAAAGAGATATTAAATGGTGGAAAAAAAAATTAGAAAAAAAAGAAAATATACAAGATACTTGAATAGCAAATTTCTATCTTTAAGAGAATTCTCAGAGACTGTTTCCTTGAAAATATCAATTTTTTTGTTCTGTTTCACTATTAACTAGTAAGTATAAAATTATTTAAATTTTAGAAGGTTTAGATAGTCAGTTTATGCTCCTTTGGCCAGACACATACAACTGTTATGCAAATAATTGGCAGCATACAGATGTTTATGTACTTTACAATCACCAGAGAATTAAAAACTTTTACACAATGCTTTCCTCTAAAGCTAACAATGTTGGTAATTCTCATCTTCCTCCTCCATCTTATTCAATGTGGAGTGTGCTTCATAAAGCAGTCACATATTTTTAATATTGGTTTAAAACTGTACTGAAATATTCTGCAGAATAGTGAAACTAGAATTTCATGGACTCACATCAGATGAGATATCTTCACAGAGAACACCCCATAGATGTTGAAAAAAATCAATAAATCATATTGAAATTAATAAACTGTGAAGGTCAGTATTTAGAACCCTGGTTGTACAGTGATGCATCCAGAAGACTTACAACACCTACAGCCTCTCCCCAGAGGGTTTGGCTGAACTCATCTGGTATTATCAGGGAGATCAATCAGGAGTGGAAACGAGGTCTGGTCTCGCCAGTAGAAGTGTCGGGAGCAGTTTTAGATAAGCAGAATGTAATTGAACGTGGTTGTATTTCTATAAGTAGGGTGGATATAGATATTCACATCTATTCCGGGAAAGAAAGACTCAGACAGGGGTGTTAAACTACCAGTCATTGCGATGGACATGCAATGTGTCTTGGTGCTTGTCTGAACAAGGATATATGGGAAAGAGAGAGACAGGGCTATTACTGGCAGGCAATGGTGGTTTTTTTTTTAGCTCTGGCATTAATTTTTCACCCTGTGTTCCTTCTCTTCAATTTCTAGGAAGAAAAGAAATGGATCTAACCATGCAAATGTCTCTCTGCTTTGCCTCCAGCTAAAAGCTTGAGTTATAAGCTGAGTTGTAGACAGCACCCCTTCAATGCTTTCTAGCTCAGTAGCTCTGTGAAGACTTCTTTGAAGGTGCAGCTGTTTGAAAAGGCTCTGCAGCAGCACAACCGAAATGTTTGTTGCTAAATATAGAAATGCACTTGCTCTGAGCGTGGCTGGTTTGCTGCAGGTTCACCTTTGGAGCTGTGTTTGTAGATATTGTACGGATTTTAAGGAGGAAAAGCAAGGGGGAGAAGTAAGAAAGCAAAGCGTTGGACAGTAAGACAACCTGTTGAGGGGGGAAAAGGCTCAGGCTGGTTGGGCTGGGCTACTAACCAGGAGTCTGATGTGGCCATGTAAAGGCCAACATATGATAAGACATATTAGTCAGAAGAGGGGATTAATTCACCATAGCCAAATGCTTCTTCTGAATCTTAAAACACTGGTGAAAT